AGGTTGGGAAAAAATTTTCAATCAAATGGACCCAAGAAACAAGCAGGGGTAGCAATCCTAATATCTAACAAACTAGACTTTAAAATAAAATCAATCAAAAGAGATGAAGGAGGTCATTACATACTCATCACAGGTGAAACCCACCAAGATGAAGTGTCTATCCTGAACACCTATGCCCCCAATACAAAGGCATCCACATTCGTTAAAGAAACATTATTAGAACTTAAATCTCATCTAAAGCCCCACACAGTTATAGTGGGAGATTTCAACACACCACTCTCACCACTAGACAAGAATACCAGACAGAAACTCAACAAAGAAGCAAAGGGTCTAATAGAAGTAATGACCCAACTGGGATTAACAGATATCTATAGAACATTTCATCCACATAAAAAAGAATATACCTTCTTCTCACCACCACATGGAACCTTCTCAAAAATCGACCACATACTTGGCAACATATCAAACCTCAGCAGCTACAAAAACATTGGAATAACTCCATGCATCTTATCAGACCACCATGCCTTAAAATTAGAATTCAACAACAACACAAATTGCAGAAAACCTACAAACTCATGGAAATTGAATAATGCTCAACTGCACCATCCCTGGGTCAAAGAGGAAATAAAAAAATAAATTAAAGACTTCCTCGAATTCAATGAGAATGAAGACACAACATACCCAAACCTATGGGACACTTTGAAAGCAGTGCTACGGGGGAAGTTCATAGCACTAAGTGCTCACATGAAGAAACAGGAAAACAGTTATACCAGAGAATTAACATCACAGCTAAAAGCTCTAGAACACAAAGAAGCAAACTCCCCAGGAGGAGTAGACGCCAGGAAATAATCAAATTGAGGGCTGAAATCAACAAAGTAGAAACCAGGAAAACAATACAAAGAATCAATGCAACGAAGAGTTGGTTCTTTGAGAAAATCAACAAGATAGACAAACCTTTGTCCAAACCTACCAAACAGCAGAGAGTGAACACGCAAATTAACAAAATCAGAAATGAAAAGGGGGACATAACAACAGACTCTGAGGAAATCCAGAGAATCATTAGGTCATACTTTGAAAACCTGTACTCCACAAAATTCGAAAATTTAAAGGAAATGGATGACTTCCTGGACAGCTATCATTTGCCAAAACTAAATCAAGAACAGATAAGCAATTTAAATAGACCTATAACCCCTATGGAAATAGAAGCTGTCATCAAAAGTCTCCCAACCAAAAAAAGTCCAGGTCCAGATGGCCTCAGTGCAGAATTCTACCACAAATTCAAAGAACAGCTTATACCAATTCTTCTCAAAGTGTTCCACACAATAGAAGCAGAAGGGTCTTTGCCAAACTCTTTCTATGAGGCTTCAATAACCTTGATCCCCAAGCCACACAAAGATACAACCAAGAAAGAGAACTTCAGACCAATATCCCTCATGAACATTGATGCAAAAATACTCAATAAAATACTGGCAAATCGGATCCAAGAACACATCAAAACAATCATTCACCACGATCAAGTAGGTTTCATCCCAGGGATGCAGGGATGGTTTAACATACGAAAATCCATCAACGTAATCCACCATATAAACAAGCTGAAAAACAAAAATCACATGATCATCTCACTAGATGCTGAAAAAGCCTTTGACAAAATCCAACACCCCTTCATGTAAAAGTCTTGGAGAGATCTGGGATAACAGGGACATACTTAAACATAATAAAAGCCATATACAGTAAACCAACAGCCAGCATCAAACTAAATGGACAGAAACTCAACGCAATTCCTCTAAAATCAGGAACAAAACAAGGCTGTCCACTCTCTCCATACCTTTTCAACATGGTACTTGAAGTTCTAGCTATTGCCATACGACAACAAAGGGGGATCAAGGGGATACAAATTGGGAAGGAAGAAGTCAAACTTTCACTGTTTGCAGACGATATGATAGTTTACATCAATGACCCAAAGAACTCTACCAGGGAACTCTTACAGCTGATTAACACCTTCAGCAAAGTGGCAGGTTACAAGATCAACTCAAGAAAGTCAGTAGCCCTACTATATACAGATGATAAAAGGGCTGAAAGAGAAATCAGAGAAACATCACCCTTTACAATTGCCACAAACAACATAAAATACCTTGGGGTAATGCTAACCAAACAAGTGAAAGACCTGTATCGTAAGAACTTTGAATCTTTAAAGAAAGAAATTAAAGAAGCCCTCAGAAAATGGAAAGATCTCCCATGCTCTTGGATAGGTAGGATCAATGTAGTAAAAATGGCAATCCTGCCAAAAGCAATCTACAGATTCAATGCTATCCCCATTAAAATCCCAGCACAATTCTTCACAGACCTTGAAAGAACAATAATCAATTTTGTATGGAAAAACAAAAGACGCAGGATAGCCAAAACAACCCTGCTCAACAAGGCAACGTCCGGAGGCATCACTATCCCTGACCTCAAGCTCTATTATAGAGCTATAGTCCTGAAAACAGCTTGGTATTGGCACAAAAATAGACAGGCAGACCAATGGAATCGAATTGAAAATCCGGGTATTAACCCACACACGTACGAACATCTGATCTTTGACAAAGAAGCTAAAAATATACAATGGAATAAAGAAAGCATCTTCAACAAATGGTGCTGGCATAATTGGAGACTGGCATGTAGAAGAATGCGGATCGATCCATGTTTATCGCCATGCACAAAACTTAAGTCCAAATGGATCAAAGACCTCAACATAAATCCAGCCACACTGAACCTCTTAGAAGAGAAAGTGGGTGGTACCCTTGAACGAATTGGTACAGGAGACAGCTTCCTGAACATAACACCAGTAGCACAGACAGTGAGATCAACAATTAATAAATGGGACCTACTGAAACTGAGAAGCTTCTGTAAGGCAAAGGACACAGTCAGCAAGACAAAAAGGCAGCCCACAGAATGGGAAAAATATTCACTAATCCCACATCTGACAGAGGGTTGATCTCCAAACTTTACAAAGAACTCAAGAAGCAAGTCTCCAAAACAGCAAAGGACCCAATTAAGAAGTGGGCTGCAGAACTAAATAGAGAGTTTTCAATAGAGGAGTCTAAAATGGCTGAGAGGCACTTGAGAAAGTGCTCAACATCCTTAGCCATCCGGGAAATGCAAATCAAAGCAACTCTGAGATACCATCTCACTCCTGTCAGAATGGCTAAAATCAAAAACACCAATGACAATTTATGCTGGAGAGGATGTGGTGAAAGGGGGACACTCCTCCATTGCTGGTGGGAGTGCCAACTGGTTCAGCCACTTTGGAAAGCAGTATGGAGATTCCTCAGAAAAATGGGAATAAACCTACCACAAGACCCAGCAACTGCACTCTTAGGCATATATCCAAAAGATGCCCATTCATATAACAAAGATGTCTGTTCCACTATGTTCATAGCAGCTTTATTTGTAATAGCCAGAACTTGGAAGCAACCTAGATGTCCCTCACCCGAAGAGTGGATAGAGAAAATGTGGTACATCTACACAATGTAGTACTATTCAGCAGAAAAAAATAATGGAATCATGAGATTCGCAGGCAAATGGATGACACTAGAAGAAACCATCCTGAGTGAGGTAACCCAGTCACAAAAAGAGAAACATGGCATGTACTCTCTCATATATGGATTTTAGACATAGATCTGGGGAGTGCCAGCCTACAATCCTATGGCCAGAGAGTCTGGGAAACAGAAACTTCATTTAGTGGCTGGTTAAGTACTGAGCTGAACTCAAGAAAGCCAGTATCAGAGAGGGAGGACTGATGATCAAAGGGATTAAGACTGGGCTGGTTTAACCCCCAGAAACAGCTGACCAGACAAAGGTTAACTCTTGAATCCCAGGCATCAGCCTGGGAATCCAGCATAGGACTGATCAAGACCCCCTGAAGCTGGGTGTCAGTGAGGAGGCCTAGGTAATCTATTGAGCCTTGGACAGCAGATCAGTACCCATCCCAAGTATACACATGGACTCTGGACTCCCATAGAACAATGTGAGGTGCACTCTCACCCTGAACTCTTGGGGAAGGGTCTAGGCCCTGCCCTATATGAAATGACAGACTATGGACACCCCCATGGAGGGCCTCACCCTGGGGGAATGAGGGGATAACGGGGGGGGATGGGGGGAGGGCACGGGAGGAGGGGAGGGAAAGGGAGAGGGACCTCGAACTGACTTGTGAAGCAACCTTGTTTCTTATCTAAATTTAAAATGGAAAGTAAAAAAAAAAATAATAATAATAAAAAAGAAAAATGGAAAGAGTGCTGGAGCCAGAGGAGATGGGAGACACTAAGAAGACCAGGGCCTCTAAACACACAAGACAGATGCACGCATGAACTCACAGAGACTGTGGCAGCATGCACAGGTCCTGTATGGGTCTGCAGCAGATGGGTCTCTAGAGCCCAAAGGAGACTTGGACACATGTCCCAATCCCTAACCCAGAAGCTATCTCCAATTGATAAATACTTGCAAATGAAAATTTAGTTTTCTCCAAGGGAGTTTCACTGGGGAAACAAACTACTCCTAAGGGTAGACCACATGCCCAGTAGTAGATGGTCCATAGAAAATGAACCCAACAGCCTGTTTGGAGGTTCCTTCTCTCATGATGTCGCATCAGGGCCTTTTTTTTTCTCTTTTATATTTTTAATTTTATCCTTTTTATTTTTAATTTTTGTTTCTTTCTCTCTCTTTTACCCTCCAGGTCTTTTGCACATATATATTATATCTTTCAGTTTTATATTTTAATGTATTTCTCTATTGTGCAAGCTATTGATAACTGGCTTTCAGTGTAGTTTGCTTTCTTCTTAAGCTTATGGCATATGCAATTTGTGAGGCTATGCAATTAGAATTTTGATAGAATTTATTCTATTTTTGGGATCAAGAAAATGAAATATTATTTAATTTTATAGCCAATAAATTCAACTGAAAATAAAAACAACTATGTCTGATAAAAACCTCATTTTATAGAAAGCCAATGATTGAATCACATGTAGTATTTTTCTTACAAATTAAGAGGAAGGGTGTGGTCTTATATTACTAGACCCAGATAAGAGGGCAATAGAGAACTTTTCTGGATTTAGGAAAATAATTGGGATAAAGATTAGAGGAAATTACTGAGACTTGTGGTCCAAGCATCACACTATCCGGGAATGAGTTTCTTTGCACAGAATCCTTCTCAGGGCACCCTTGACCTCAGTGTTCCTCAGGCTGTAGATCAGGGGGTTCAGCATGGGGTTGAAAAAACTGTAAAACAGGAAAAGGATCTTCTGCTGCTCCTCGGGGTGCTGGGACTTGGGGGCCATGTACATGACGATGGCGCTGCCAAAGAAGAGCCCAACCACACAGAGGTGGGAGGAGCAGGTGGAGAAGGCCTTTCTGCGGCCTTCCCCCGACTGGATCCTCAGGATGGCCACCAGGATGCGTGCGTAGGAGACTAGTACAAAACAGAGGGGGCCCACTAAGATGAACACACAGGCTGCAAAGATGACGACTTTGTTGAGTGTGGTGTCAGCACAGGCCAGCTTGAGGACAGACAGGATTTCACAGAAGAAGTGATTGATTTCATGGGGCCCACAGAAGGGCAGCCTCAGGATGAGGACTAAATGAACCAGAGCCAGGAGGAAGCTAAATATCCAGGAACCAGTAGCCAGGATAGTACACACTCGCCAGTTCATGATGACAGTGTAGTGTAAGGGGTGGCAGATGGCCGCAAACCTATCATAGGACATCACCACGAGGAGGAGACATTCTGCGTGTGCAAAAGCCAAGAAGAGAAAGGTCTGTGTCATGCATCCAGCAAAGGAGATGGGCTTCATCTCATCCAAGAGGTTCACCAGTGTCTGTGGCACCGTGTTGCAGGCATAGGCCATATCCACAATGGCCAAGTGGGACAGGAAGAAGTACATGGGGGTGTGGAGTCTGGAGTCCAGGCAGATTATCCCAAGGATGGTTCCGTTCCCTAACAGGGTGAACGTATAGAAGAGAGAGAAAAGCAGAAAAAGGACTAGATGAATCCTTGGGCCAAGACAGAATCCCAGCAGGATGAACTCTGTGACCAATGTGTGATTTTCTTCCATTACTCTAAGAAGGAGAGATAGAGAGTACTCAGAGATGCAATTATATTAAAACATCTTTTTAAAAATATTTCATCAGCATTTTTTGGTATAGAATACTTTAAAATTATACTCTTAGAAATTCATTCAAGTAAATTAATTAATAAAATATTGCTTATCAAATATCAAATTGTTTACTCATCTGCTTAAGTTTCACTGTTGGTATTCAAGTTTCAGAAGGGAAACATGTCAGCCATTACTGACCCAGAACCATTGGTGCTGATGTGACTAAGAACTACCAAGCTTATACGTATCAAAGTATCATGAAATAAAGTATTTCAGAGTTTCCTGTGTGTCACTTTGTTAGTGAGTTACTGGGTCTTAAAAGAATACCAGAGCTTTTAGAAGAATAGTGTCAAGGAAAAAAATAGAGACTGTAGATTGCTTTGGCAGAAATCAGATTGCTGTTACAATTTTTTGAATAGTTATTTACAGATATTTAAATTGTAAATAGAATATAGAGGCTGTTTTTGATGGGCAAGTATAATTGGGTGTGTTATGGAGTAGAAGGTGAAGTTTGGCACATGGACACACTTGCAATATTAGCGAGGAGAGAGTTGGTAGTAGAAATATTATCTAATTAGAGTTCTATATGATGTCATGTATCTGTTTTCATTTGTCTAAAACACATTCTTTCTACATATAAATGTATATAAGATGTGTATCATTGTTTTGATAAATGAGCAGAAATCAGTGTTTGACTATTTGGTAACTGGGTTACTGAGAGTTATTAATTCACTGTACCTACTTTTCTACACATTGAAAGCAGGTCAGTTAGTGTTCAGTTGATTGGTGATACAGGACTAGACACTGCACTAACTACTCCAGATCAGTGTTCCTATAAACTCCTGAGGATTTAGAGGGTGGCCATGATTTGGGATTTTTCCAAATATGCTGTCTGCTTTGACTTTCCTTTCTTGTAGTATAAAATGAAGATAAGTCAGGATACTCATCCTATTAGTTTTACAATTTACAATGATTGCCTTTTATTAATATATTTTTAATCATGTCTGTGTACAGAGGTCAAAAGACAATCTCCAGTAGCCAACTCTCTCCTTTCACCACATGGGTTCTAGGGAAATGGATTTGGACTGATAGACTTGGCTACAAGCTCCTTTACCTGCCAAGTCATCCTGCCTGTCCTACTCATTTTATTTTAATTTAATCCTTTATATTGATAATGAGCACCATATGTGTTAATAATTATGCAATTTTCTATTTAAACACACTGCATGAAAGAACAAGATGGCCTCAGTATCAAGGATTATCATATTCTCTATAAGTAGGCAATTCTAAAAGCATTGAGAAGTTGATATTTCATTTGGACACTTTACAGAAATCTGAACGGACTAATTAGGGATAAAATAGTCTACAAAAGTGGCTTTTTGATTTTGATTTTGGACATGATTTCTTCACTAAGCCTTATTGAAATACACATGGTTTCTGATGAGAACTTCATCAACTCTATCACCCGGGCAACATAATGTGAAGCTTAGTAACTTTCCCAATGACCAGTGTCAGGGATGACACAGAGTTTGGCTAGTCCCCAGATTAACTGTAGTCTCTAGGGATGACACGGAGTTTGGCTAGTCCCCAGATTAACTGTAGTCTTTAGCAAGGGATATGTCAAGAAGTATTTCCTGAGGAATTGGCATAGGAGACAGAACTGGGTTCTTAAGGAAACAATTGTAAAATGCACATATAACATATGATAATAATGACTTAGAAGCAGAAAGGTAATTACAGTTGCTGGATGTAATCTCCCAGAGGCAGGGCTGGAGGATTTGACCAACAAGTGAGCTCAAATGTAGTTACTTTCATGAAAAACCTGACTGGAAAATGGGTTTAAAAAAAGGGAGGATATGGATGTGGAGTGTAGATACTGTGTCTATGAGGCAGCATTGGGAAGTTCATGTAAAATAACCTTCAGGAGAGGAGGCCAAGGGAACCAAGAAGAGCAAGGATAGGAGATGTCTGCACTCCTAGTGGGTGGGTTGGTGATTGGTCATCCATCACCTTATCTGGAAAGATTTCTGAATAGCTCTTCCAGATGTCATTTCATGTTATTTATAGCCCTTGGCCAATGATCCCTTTTCTTGAACAGGTGACCATACAAAGACAGGATATGTGATTAACAAAATTTTCTTCTTATATTGCATTGCATCTTGATTTTTACATAAAGAATATTTAGATATTATGCTTTATATACCAGTGTTTTGATGGAACATGAAAAAATATTTCTTGAAGAAAATTTCCAAAGCTAGATCTAAAAAGCAGAGACCACATTCTAGACCAATACAACTCCTTTAATACCATACCTTGCAAAGAAATAGTTCCCTTACTAATGGCAACTAATGTTGTCCCTACCTTCATAGAAGCATTATTGACACACAGCCAATGTATATTGACTGCACATAATATAAATTATACATATTTAAAGTTCCATGCATGACAGGCTGATTTAACATTATGTTACTATCAAAAATTTCGTGGTGAAAGACTAAGTTTAATTGTTAAATACACTACGCATAGAGAAATATTGTATTATAGCTTTTTATAGCCCCAGACACAGGAAGATGGAAAGGTCAGATGTATTAGCATCCTGTTAGCACTATTGTTTCAGTCTTGATTTATTCTACAGCGGTGGAGCATATTTGCCTATTTTGTATCCCAGACATTTGTTATATGACAAATGCATTAAAAAGAACAAACAAATAACTTTTGTCTTCTTATTATATCTAGTTCCTTTAAAAACATAGCCTTTAACAAATATGCCAAGGAAGCTCCTTCTTTCTAACGGAAATAAGCCCTACCACCCAGCAAAACTTCTTTCTTGTGACCTGTGTTAAAGTAAGAGCTTTAACATTGGGTAAGACCAACTAAAGGGTATGCAATGTGTTAAACACTTGAATTTAATATTTATTTGTCTTATAATTTTATTTGCTAGCTGTTTGACACATCTAGTACTAACAAAAACAATCAACGGAAGCTAATTTTCAAGAGGTCTGCGAGAATGTCCCACTGACACATATTTCAGTTGCAAATGTAAATTTCAGTTATTGTGATGACCATAAGTCTACCAATGTGTGATTTCAAGTATTTAGAAGATGTTAAAATTATATTCAGTTAAAAATTCATCCACTGACTTTAACATTCTACTCAGGTAAATATCTGAGTAAGAAAGATGTTTTTTTTCCTGTATCAACAAAGTTTTACCATTTAAACAATCCACATTTAGAAAAGCAAATCTCAAAGTTTGATGGACGTCCATCTATCCTCCGCAGTAGCAGACATGGGCCAGAAGGAATTTGTAGTATGACTCCCTGTTGTTTACCAATTATGCAGCTCTAAAAGAAGCCTGGCCACTTACAGGTGATGAAAAAAAGAACTGGAGACTAATTAGTTTTCTTGCTCACACTGTTAGAGAGACTTCGCCAGGTCGTCCTACAGAAGAGTCTATGGAGTGGTGTCTTAGGCACCAAATACCGTAGGGAAACAACAGCAGGGCAGGTTGATGGAACCATTATTGTGGAGACTCCGTCGTAAAATTATCTCCAGGAAAAAGAGATTCATGTAAAGGTAAACTTTGAACATCAAAGCCTTCTAGCAGAAAACTTAAGAGGTTTTTTTTGGCATTTCTTCCTTCTCTCACTTTGCCATGTGACCACAGACACCTATATTCCTTTCCATACCCATTACAAAACACATCCTGCAGACTAACATGTACTTACTTGTTCAGAGCATTCTAGATGTCTAAGCGCATCCTTATAACTGTGAAGAAAAGTATGTGGAAGACATAGGCTTGACATTCATTTGGCCTCATATTCCACTGGAATAAAAATATTTTCGTAAGCTTGGCATGCGTTTCGTGAGGGTTGACGAGAATTAAATGCAACCTGTATGAGATAACCAGCATATGTTAATTTTCCTGCAATGGAACACCATTCTGTAATTTATCCTATTCTTCTATTATAATTTTTGTTAATTGGGAAAATCATTCCACATATTCCATCCAAGCTTTCAATGTCGAGCTCACTCGCATGTAGAATGTGAATAATGAGCATGTAAATTCAGCATCCACAGAGACAACTGATTTCTTTTCCTGATTAATAAAGAGTGGTAATAACAAAGGTAGCAGAAACCACAACCTAGAAGTATTAACCAGTCTGGGAGGATGTAGCTAGCAAAGTCAGGCAACTTTGCTATGAACATTAAACTCAAGCATTTCAGAAGGGGAAGCAGCTGGAGGCTCTCACAGATCCTGTCTCCTCAGATCTTCCCATGGAACTGCAGAAACCTCCCTGACTGAAATGCAGCCACATCCTCAGGAAAGGAGCTGCTATTCTCTCAGGGCCCAGCCTAGTTTGCAGCCCTTGAGAGGTCACAGGAAGGGCTATGCCATGAAACACCCTGCATGCCTACCTCTGCTGGAAGCAGCAACAAAGCAATTGTGTTTTTCTCATCCCCAGCACACAATTAGGAAATATAACCACCAAGCACACCTCTGAGACTACAACTCTCATTAGAGTCCCTGAATGCTTCTCACTATTCGATCTCATAATTTCCAGAATAGCATTGTCCCCAGTCTCTGTGGGATTCCGGAAAACCTGCCAAGAAGCTGGACCACTGGGGGAGCTGCTGGCATCCAGTCGTCAAGTCAACCTGCTTTGGATGGACTTTGGTTGCTCCAGGCTGGAGCACACATGGAGGAAAAAGGATTCTGAAACTCAGTTGTTTGCAAGCTGCACTCCAAGGTCTGGAGGTCCTGTGAAAGTTGCTTAGAGAGTCATACAAAAGATTGGGGAGTTCAAGGAGGAGGTGGTAAGGTATTCCAGAGAATCTTTGGGGACTTGCTTTAAGGCAGTGTACCTTCTACGGCAGGAACCGCAAATGTAGGTCATGGCTTGGAAGTCCTCATTCATCTCCTTCTGAGACTGTCACTTTCTGGGAAGATAGGAGCCTCTACAAGGTGGTTTCTGTTATGAATTACTGTCTCTCCCAGGAAAATGGAGATGCACGATGCCAGATGTATTTTCATTTTTATTTATATTTTTCCTAATATTGGATATTGGAGAAATAATAATTGTAGTTGCAGCCATACTGAACTTTATAACCCACTAAGTTTATTACATGGTGATCCTGATCTTCTGGGGTTAAAGCATAGACCCAAGGGAGTTTCTCACATCTTTCCCACCTTTGCAGGTCATGGTCACCTCGATCATGAGTATGTGCCCATGATGAGAAAAAAAAACACTGTTTTTAGGAAGCCAAACAATCATTTCCTGTATGAAAATTCCCTGTGCACAGAAGACATGGCATAAACATTTTATCTTCTTTTTTGCATCCTGGAGATCTACAAGCAATATAAATAAAACTCCCGTGATAACCATAAGAAATCTTCACTATGTAAACAACCAGTCATAAAGACTCATTCTAGAGCCACGCATTGGTGGTACATGCCTTTAATCCTAGCACTTGGGAGGCAGAGGCAGGCAGATCTCTGCAAATTCTAGGTCAGCCTGGTTTGCAGAGCAAGACACAGGACAACTAAGGCTACACAGAGAAATTCTGACTCTAAAAAACAAAAACAAAAAGTCGTTTCAGTGAAAGAGACTGAACATTTGAGTTGGGTCAAGGCAAACACACAATTTCATAATGGCAAACAAATGGAAATTTGGGAAACACACCACCCAAATCGTGCCTTTTCTAGTGTATAACAAGTTAGGAAAATCTCTACTTCAGCAAGCTGTCACTAAGAAACATAAACACATGGAAAACATAAACACATGGAAATTAGACTAACAGAGGAAACAAAGTTTAATTGAAACAAATATGTTTATAAATGTTTGTGCTATTCTTAACCACATAGAAATCCTCTATGGAGAATTAGCCTGGGCTAGAGAGATGGCTCAGCCGTCAAAGGCTAGGCTCACAGCCAAAAATATAAGATAAGTATCCTGAAAAAATCTATGTAAATGGAGTCTATAGAAAACATTTCTATATGATCAACACATATTTGAGGATATAAGCCTGAAAAAATAGAGAATAGTAACTAAATTTTACACTTGGGAATACAACAAAAATTAAACGTAAGAAAATTTCCCTTCCCCTGTAATTGGACTGATGACTACCTTGGTTACCATCCCTAGAGCCTTGACCCAGTAGCTGATCCTAGCAGAAACAGGCACCCACAGCTGAGCACTGAGCCATACTCCCAGAATCCAGCTGTGGAGAGGGAGGAGAGATGAGCAAAGGAGCCAAGACTGGACTGGAGATACCCGCAGAAACAGTTGACCTGACCTAATGAGAGCACACAGACCCTCGTTGGATAGCACAGGAACCAGCATTGGACCAAACCAAGTCCTCAGAATATGGGTACCAGTCTATGGAACCTCTAACAGTGGAGCCAGGGTTTATTCCTAGGCCACAAATGCACTTGGGGAGCCCATTCCCAATGGAGGGATACTATTGCAGCCCAGATATGGAAAGGAGGATCTTGGCCCACCCCCAAATGATGTGATGGACTTTGGTGATCCCTCTGGAGGGTCTCACTATCCCTGGGGAGTGGGTGGTGGGTGGGCCGGGGGTTGGTGGGAATCAAGGGAGGATGGGAGGGCGAGGGAATGGAGGGACGGATATGTAAATAAGAGTGTTTCTAAAGAATAAAAATAAAACAAAGAATATTTGGCTAAGAACTGTTTCTTCCTACATATAAATAAAAACACATTGCTTCAAAAAAATTCCCTGAAGAACACAACACCAATAGCTATCAATATCGATCAAACTGTACATGTTCTGCTGAAAGTAAAATGAGATAGTGTTTATCTTGTGTTGGTTTTCCCCAGGAGATGTAAACAAACGTCCATTTGCCCAGATAGGACACAGATAGCAGGCCAACAAAACAGACCCACCCACGTCTAGCTCGATGGACTAGTGAATATTGGAGTATTTCTTACAGTAGTGTGGGTGATTAAAATGCAGTCTCATCTCTGAAGATTCTTTCTCAATAATGGGTAAGGATTCAATGAAAGCTGCATTTATCGAATTGTCTACATGACTTGCAGGCAGTGTGGGTGGACCATAAGTTTCACTCCATAGCAGCAATTACTGTGGAACTCTGGAGAGGGGTTTTATGTATCTGCTAAGTTTCAGGACCATCTTGAGACTTGTGAGTTTCTTTTCTTCCTGAGCTTCATCATTTTAATTTACTTCCTAAGTCATAAGGTTGTCCATTTCAGGAGGATATACATCAATTTGAAGGATGTAGCTACTCAATTTCTGGATAAGTATTTACCATTTTAAGGAATAAGAAGGCTATGCAAGTATAGGAATAGGTAAAGCTAACAGTGCAGTCAGTATTAATTGAAATAAAAATATTTATGTGCTAACACTATTTGCCTTTGATGGAGATTCAAAGCTCTTATGCTCAAAGCACCTCTAGAATTAATCACGGTATTTAACTGAGAGTAATATACATAAATCCTAACTGAGACAGGAGGATGCTGTCAATGCTTAAAGTAAAACATCATCAGTGCCTTTCCCTACAGCGGGAGGGACAACTAAGAAGAGGGAGGGTGTATCTTCAGGACAGCATGGCAGACATGTTCTGGGTGGAGAGTGCTAGTGCTGTTCTTTTTTTACTTGTGCAGTTCTGAACTGTGTGTCCTGAGTGATTTTACTTTCAAATGTCAGGTGTTTATTTGGAACAGATGCCGGGAATAAAAGAGGCGTTTGTGATAGGAATTATTTTTCTTGGCTCTTAAGTGTTGCTTTCACTGGGACACAGGGCAAAAGTGTTCCTCTTCACGATGTGCAGTTATGCCTGGCAATAACAACCGACACAAGGCTACATCACTCAGCCCTTTACATTTAGTGTGGGTCATGTGTCCCCAAAGGGGACATAATCCGAATAGCTTTGAGCAACTCCTGAGGCTGAAGTGGATATGAAACTGGAATCCTGAATTATACCTAATCTATCAGAAGCAGAGGTCACAACTGGAGCTTGTCATTGCCGGCTGCAGTGAGGTGGTATTATGAGAAGAGCCACTGACTCATGACATCTGACACTATCTAATATGAGATGGGTGTTGGAGTTTAGTTGGAGGACACACAGCTGGTGTTTGCTGGAGAAGGGATTGCTTGGTTTGTGGGGAAAGCCCCCATATACTCAGGATCAGTGGCAGAACATTGGATGTGTGAACACAAGAATGGGAAAACAACCATACGTTTCTATATTCTTTGAGAGATTCTAAATATCCAAGGGAAACACACACACACACACACACACACACACACACACACAAACACTTAAAAAAAAAGACTTGCTTGTGCTGATATTGAGAAAGACCAGAGATGTGAGAGTTTATTAGATCTCAAGGCAAACTAAAAAAAATGATTTCAGGGACTAGAAATATGGCTTTGTGTGTTAGTTGCTTGCTGCATAAAGCGTGAACACTTGAGTTCAGATCCTCAGTGCCCACAAAAAAAAAGAAGGCTTACCAGAACACACCAGCAACCCCTGTGCTGCAGATGTAGAGATAAGTGGATCCTGCAGCATCAGGTTCAAGAAAGAGATCCTGTTTCAAAAACTGAAGGGAAGATCAGAAGAAGATACCCAAAGTTGACCTGTTTTACACACACACACACACACACACACACACACACACACACACACACACGGTACATGGATATACATGTGTATGAAGGAGTATGCACAAGCAGACAGGGAAATACATGTGCATATATACTAAATGATTTCATAGATAACTTATTGAGAAGCCACCTAAAATATTTGGAGACTGAATGCTAGTCTTTAGCTTTTAACCGAGTTGCCAGAACCAGCTATGTACCAACTGCATCCTGCAAAGCTTCTCATGGAAGGTGA